CTCCCTATTCTATTTGATATGCTCCTAGATATAGTGCTCTTGGATTTTGGAGTGGTAAATATTCAGACAGAATGTGTATTGAAGTTTCGTCCTCGTCCTTGCAGAATCTACACTCACTATCTTCTACTACTCTCAGTTTACTAAGGTGTCCTTTGAGTCGACAATGTCCAGTAAGGATTCCTGTTACTAGTCTGTTCTTGCTCAAATAAATACACGCTTCCGATTTTTTCTGGTTATATTCACCCAGAAGTAACTTTAGTCTAAGCCCCAAGAGATTGTTCTAATTATTGGTTCTTCTACTGCCCAATTCTTTTTTAATCTCTTCTAATATTGTGTTACTGTTGATACCTCAGAACAGTTCAGGTCCCGCAAAGGATGTTTGGGCCCCTTTCCTTGCGAGACTATCTGCAAACTCATTATCCTGTACCCCGTGACCGGGACCCAAGTGAGAGTAACTGTATTTTCCTCGTCTAATTTATCCAATTGTTCTAGGCATCTTAAAACCATTTTTGAGCTGATCACGTAAGAGCTCAGCGCTTTGATGATAATCTCTCGTCTACGTTAGTTTCTTTCGATTTTAAAACGGATACACTTCTCAATGCTGTAAATTTCCGCCTGGAAGATGCTTGGCTATTTTCACAAATTGTCAGATTGCCTGGTTCTAGGTCCCTACACTACTATTTCAGTTCTTCCTATGGTTTTGGAATCATCCGTATACCACCCTTTAAGGATGCATGTTGCTACATTAAAATTCATCAATTAACGAGAACTCTGTGGGGTAGAGAGTTGTAGGCTGAATATACTAACACCCTTCCTTGTATAATAAAAATTTTAAAATGACCCACGACAACGTCAACAAAATACGAATGTTATATGTTATACACAACGGACAACTACTAGACTAATTTTGTTTACAAAAATCGAATTGCACATATTTACGGCACATTTTATACCTGAAGAATCAGTTGCTCACTCTGCCTCGGCACTTTTGATCTCAATGTTCCAGTTTATACATTGCGCAACTCGGATTTGTATCCCTGGCGCATACAGAATAAAATCATAATAGCCCAAGAACCCACTGAAAAGTTTTACCCTCATCTGATAACTAAATTAAATATACCCCAAAAACATGTAAAAACATTGTACGTTACCAAATCCCAATTCTGAGCAAAATGGTTAAAAAATATTTTATATTTCTCATAAGGCATGATAGCTTTTGAAAGACTTTCAAAATTCCATTAGGGAAGTATATAGGCATTTATAATGCCAGTTATTATCAGTTTAATACATTTTTTCTCATTGCAACTTTTATAGTTGTATAGCGTTTTTTAGAAAAGTAGATAATTAATTAAGTGCAACAGCAGTGTAAAGCAAGGGTATTAGACGTGAATACTGGTTCATTCTAAAACGCATGCTCGCTCCTCACATAAATATACTCGCACAAATCATCCCCACTCAAATTAGCAGCTGCCTCCTTCTGTCTTATGCGGCAACCGATGCGACGACAGCTCTGTCTGCGTAATAATAAACACAATCAGAATGATTGAAATAAAATAAGACTTAATTATAAATTAATGGATTAGTCTAGTAATGTTTCGTCGTTGGCAGTGTCGGATTGGGCCGTCGGTCTACCGTTCCAAAGACCAGTAGGCTCTCGGTCAAGCAGTAGGCCCTCGTTCAGGCGGTGGGCCCTCGTCCAGGTAGTGGGTCCTTGTCCTTGAGAAAAACAAATAATCAAATGCGAAGAAACCCCGTAATACAAGTCAACCTCAGAAAAAGCATCAGTTTGCAAAGAGCACCTTTTTCTTATTCTTCAATGAATCGGATCACGAAAAAAAAAATTGATAGGTGAGCTCTTCTGCCTCCTGAACCGGTAGGCCCTGATGGTCTCAATTCGACACTGGTCGTTGGTTACAATGGCGTAGCCACAGGGTGGGGAGGGTATCAGAACCCCCCCATGGAGGGTCCTCGCGTATCCATTTCTGCTATAGTATTGACGCTGATCACTATTGACTGTTTATTTTTATTCACTTTTTTAATGGATCCCCCCATAGTTCTCAAAAATCCATCCCATGAAAAATGGCTGGCTACGCCACTGGTTGGTTATATATTTTATACCGCGAAACACTATATACTGCAAAGACTATGTTGTAATGTCTTTGATATACTGCATCGAGATAGAATAAAGTAGAGATGACATACACTATTTTGCGATATGATAGATATGGACGCACTTAGCGATGCCAAGAATGACGTAAAATCAAAATGGCGGCTTAAGAGTCATAATTGGATTTTTTTGAAGTCAATAATTTTATTTTTGAAGATTGATGGAATGAAAATATGTTTATATCATTTAAATGAAGCTATTTAAAAAAAATGAATCATTCTCACCAAAACTGACTACCTCCACTAGCTCGAGTTTGACACATGACGCAAAAATGTAATGCAAAGACGCGGACACTTTTAGTATCCTCATAGCATCGCCTCTTTATTCTATCTCAGTGATATACTCCGGCGGTAAACCATATTCTAGAGCGACTTCACTATTTAACGTGTAAATATGTTTATACTTTCTCGCAGTACTCGCTCTAATGTATTATAAATATTTCTTCCGATTCCGTATAATCGTTCCTTATATTATTACTATTTAGTCCAGGCAAAGAAAAGGTATAGAAGGAAATGTTTGGAACACAATTTTTGACTTCGTAACTTTGTTTGGACTAGTTAGGAGGTGAACATATCAAAAGTCCCCGCCCGTAGCCTTTGATCCGGGAAGGAAGAAGGGGATCTGAAGGTAACATTTTTCGGTTTTTCGCTTATATCTCAGAAACTACGCATTCTTTACAAGTTTTACTTTGTAAAGTTTTTCGATATCTTGTATAGTTTTCGATATATCAGCTCTTGAAAACCTATAATTTTGGAAAAAAAATATCTCGCATATTTTGCTCTTTTCGACCGGATAACTCTTCAACGATGCACCCAAATAGTAGTTTGTGCAACAAGAGTGGATATGATGGCCATATCGTACGAAGGCAAAATTTGAGCACGACGCCGTAGGCGGAGTGCTCAATCGTCTGAGTACGATGTGGACAATCCACTCGAGTTGTACAATATATTTTTTCTACGACCCACTAACGAAAATTTACAAATTAAAAAAAATATTTTTGATTATTAAGACAAAATAAATAATTTTAGAATAATTTATTACTTTTAATAATTTTTAAAATAAAATAAACAAAAAAGAAAAAAAATTTTCCCCATCCTAGAATCGCACTCCAGTCTTCAGTGTGGAAGGCAAGAACGCTCACCACACCACCACCTAATATTTTAATTTTGTTGCGTTAATACTCGTAATTAAATTGACTTCATATAGTTTTATTTAAATTAATAAATTATTTATAATTATAGACGAAATAAAAACAGAAATGCTATTATTTATCGATTCTACACAAGAATAACCCATTTTAATGTATATTTAATCTCAATAACTAAAAAATATACTGACAATTATTTTGACAGAATTGTCACTTATTTAAAATTGTAAAAATAATAGCAGTCGGTTGATCAAAAAACGGTGGGTGATTGGTGGATTCCATTTTTTTGCAGTGTTCTCACTACCTAGAATGGATATGAAATATATTCGTTCAGTTAAAGGCAATAGCATACTTGTATGCATGTATGAGTGACTTTAAAACAGTGGGATGGTTTTATAAATCACAACAATTAACTAAAAATAACGTTTATTAACATAGAAACGTGAATTATCATAAAACATTGCAACAGTATGTAACATTGAATCAATTTCTTTCTCTCTTGGGGAGGGAAGGACCTTCATTCTCGTCTTCGTTTTCATCTTCTTTATCTCCAATATCTTCTCCATCGGACCCCCATTGGAAGGCAGTTCCTCTGGCAATTTTGGCATGTGAACATTTGAGGTTTGCTTTTTTGCATCCACACTTCGCACTGGCACAGTATTTCGCTTATCGGCAGAAAATCATTTTCAGGATGTCCTCCGGTACAGCTGCTAACTCACTGTGCACTGGGACCAGGCAGTTGTTCTCAATCTTTCACCCATACATCTGAGGAGGCAGATTATTTCCCAGCCACAGTTGAACTTGGTGGAAGTTTCGGAGGAAATGCTGTTTTACTGCTCCCTCGGTGGGAGGAAGACAAGCAGATGAAAACGAAGACGAGGATGAAGGTCCTTCCCACCCCAAGAGAGCAAAAAATTGAATCAATGTTACTGTTGTAATGTTTTATGTTAATTAACTTCTCTATATCAATAAACGTTGTTTTTAGTTAATGGTTGTGATTTATAAAACCATCCCACTTTCTTAAAGACACTCATACATGCAGAAACATGGTCATAGCAACATATTTTCCCATTAATGAAGTGTGAGGAACCTGGTCAGAAGGAAAATGAGTATCTGTGCTATTTAGACATCCAGTACGCACTATAAGTACATAACGGTGCATATTTCGACCAATACGTTGACTAGGAATGTTTAGAAATTGAAAGATTCATTTTCGGCAGTTGCTTTAAAATTTGAAGGAAAATAGATAAAATAGTAAAGTAATATATATTATTGAAGGGAATTTAATTCTCTATAACCCTATGATCGGCATTTATTTTGTTTTTGGTGCATCGTTGAAGAGTTATCTGGTCAAAACGAGCAAAATATGTGAGGCAAAAATGTTTTTTTCCAAAATTACAGACTTTCAAGAGCTGATATATCAAAAACTATACAAGATATCGAAAAACTTGACGGTATAAAACTTGTAGAAAATTTAATAAGCTTTTATTTTATATTGAATTGTAATGTCGCTAGGACGCATAGTTTCTGAGATATAAGCGAAAAACCGAAAATTGGACGTTCAGATCCCCTCTCCCCCCACCGGCTCAAAGGCTACGGGCGAGGACTTTTGATATATCAATAAATATTTTACAAAAATAACGGCAATAAACATTTTAGATTTACAAAAAAAAAACATTTTCTTACCTCTCTGTATTCCACATTGTACAGAAGACTTAATGGAAAACTTTCTTTTTTTGGGTCATCGTCTATCAACCTATTTTCTTTTTCGATTGGCAAAAATGGTTCTTCAACAAGAGTAGGAAGTAGATCCTTGACCTGAAAAATAATTACTTTCAGTAATAACAAATAACAATAATAATAAGAAATTACAAAAATAATATTATTAATAATATAAATAACCGAAAAATCCTATCAGTGGAACGCTACAAGATTCTAGAGAATTATGAAAAAATGGCACAACTGTGCTATTGTTTACAACTCGCGTATCGGGGACAACACTAATCATTTGTAGTGCGCATGTCGTACGCCTTTTATTTATACATCGGTCTCCTTTTGACAGAGTAGATGAGCTGTGTCCAGGCCGTTGGTGTTTATGCCGGTGGACGTAGCCAGGTATGGATTGAAAGTCTTTACTTCGTCTTCTTGTTGTCACGACATTATTATTATTATTATTTGTTCATGTATGTGAAATTTGCTTCTAAGGTTTATAAAATACTACTGCTAGTCACGGCGTAAATGAAAACAAACAAGACGTATTCACACAAACACCTCCCACCACAGCAATTACAAATGATTAGTGTTGTCCCCGATACGCGAGTTTGTTTACAGGCTAATTAACGCATGCGCATTACTAAATATTTAAATAAACTCCAACAAAAATTACACATATTCATCAGTGGTTGCATACATCAATTATCAGGACTGGATCGCCTCGCTTTTTCGTTGATTCGGGAGTTCAGTGTTTTTGTAATTATTCAATAATTATCCTTGACCTAAGCACAACCTAAGAACAGTTTGACTCTGCATCACAGTCATTCGTCGCATTCAAATTTAACACCTCTTAAATATTATTGTCAAATACTTAAATTTAAATTTTTAAAAACGCAGCGTTTAACTGAGGTCCATAGGCCGAAGGCTGTAGCAAAATTGGAAAAAATTGGTCTGTAAGTGAAGTGCCCCCTTCAGATCTGCCCTCCTGGCAGTCCCCCCTCTTCCACCCTTACGACTCTGTATTTTTTTATTTTGAAATGTTTTTTATTTACACTACCCTCCATTTAGAATTAAAATATGAACAATACATGCGAATGACTACGAAATTAAGTGAATACATTTGTATCGCCCTATATTTTATATAAATACGATTTACCTTCGACTATTTGTTAAATTTATTTAAATTTAGTACTACTTACATGTTTTTCCTCTTTTGAATTGAATTCCGATGGATCTTCGGTTTTTATTTTTGATTTGTTAAGAACATTATTTTCTTTTTGTCGAAGCACTTCGCGATTGTCTAAGAAACTTTTCTTTTCTAATACACAATTTTTATCACCTTTCAATGATATTTCTTTTATAATCGGTATTTTCGATATTGGTTTTTGAAGATTCTGTTCAAATGTAACGTTTTTTATTATATTATTCCGACCTCGCTTCCGAAAATCTTGATGAATTTGAAAAGCCATTTATACTTAAAAAAATATAACTATATGTCCGTATAAATAATCCGTTCGATATCAAAAAGTATCGACTGACTGCCAATGTCAAGAATATATTTTTATCAGAATTCTTAACTTTTTTTTGTATTACATTTTTTGTCGACATTTCTTCTGATATTCACAAAAATAACGATAAAGGCTAGACCACCGACGTATAAAAGGAGGGGATTTGCAGGTCCGAGACCCCCTTGGCCTAAGCAGCAACGCAAATATTATACGAATACCTACCTTTTACAACAAGAAAAATTACTGTTTTGGGAGCGCTAAAACAGTGAATTCGAAATCAAATTTTTCAACATTTTCAAAAAAATTGCCGGGGAGGACCTCATACGTCCCTGGGTTAGACCTTACTCACGGTTCGTAGACAAAACTGTAGCCTCATCCGGTAACTTGTGACGGGGGTGACGTCACAGAATGAAAAATCGAGGTAACAAAAAATATTCTGCTGCGTACATTAGTTTTTTTTTATATCTTATATTTTAATAATATTTAGTTGTGTTTATATTTTTATTTATAAACTATGCTCTTGTGTTAGAGTTTTTATAATATCGGTAGTTTGATTTTTTAAAAGTACATAATATACTATTTGAGCACGAAGGTTCTTGAGATTTCAATAAATAAAGTGACAAAACAAGCAAGGCATCCAATATAACAGGGACAGAAGTTGGAAAGGCTTTTAGCAGTTATTCCACTTCATACACGGGATTTCACAGTTTTGCCGCGGAGCTAACCGAAGTGAACGCAAAACATTGGTGTAGAAAATAATTTTATAGATGCTAATAACGGTTTCGCGTAAATAGTTTAAACATTTATGAATAGCCTGTTGAAATTTTGTAGAATTATAATTATTTATTTAAATAATTATTTCTGGCCCATAAATAGATACGATTGACCAATTTCGTCATTATTTTTATATTTTATTTTATATTTTTATAACCAGATCTCGGATATGACACTGGCGAACAAACATTACCGCGAAATTCATTAAGTCGTCCGACGGGGTTTGATGTTTATCACCAACGGATATTTAAAAAAAAGAAGAAGAACAATTGTACACTACGATATGCGTGATTTTTCTAATGCCTACTTTAGAAACAATTTTGTGGATCACTCATATAAAATCATTGAGATATAATTATGGAGTGTAGAGGTAAGGAGAACTATCTTTGTATAAAAAAAGGGTCCCTCAAAATGTATAAAATTAAGATGGCGCTTCTGTACCAGAGAGACACCGACAGTGTGCCGACGACAGTCGATTATTGCCGCGTTTGAGAATCCACATCGGATGCATCTGAGATGCACATACTTTGATTTTCTTTTACTATACGGTGCAAGAGAACAGGTCCGACACGCCCAACATAGGGCGCGGCCATTTTGATTCCTATGCCACAGTTTATAGCTAAAGAATCAGATCGCTCACTCTGCGTCGGCACTTTTGATCTCAATGTTCCAGTTTATACACTGCGCAACTCGGATAATACAATATATGACAACCGCCTATAATAAAACAGCAGTCTTCTGCGTATCCTGAATTTATATCCCTGGAGTGGATGTTATTTTGGAACTTTCAACTGGGCCGAGTGAGCTAACTGATTCTTTAGCAATAAACTGTGACTCCAAAAATAATAGGTTCTTTCGTTCGTCCCACTGGTGTAGTAATGAACTACACCAACGCAAACCATACCTTTCGTTTGGCCCGGTGTAAATCCCACTATACCACAAAGCACATAGAGGCTCCACGTGAATGACCAAGGTCAAAACCGACAACTGACATTTTTTTATGCTATTTGCTCCAAACTCTAGATGGGGCTACTGGTGAAATTTTGATTTCTTACTCCATTTTAAGCTTTATGGGAGAAAAACTTAACCAAAGACTCCAAAGATGTGACCCTTATTCCTCCATGGATGTGACGTGTATTTATTTATGTTCTTGGTTAGTCTCATTTTTCCATCTGATTTTAGTGATTTTTTGTTGGCTTTGGCTTTTGCTTTCTGTTTATAGTTTCGTCTTAGTTATTTGCAAAATTGTGATGTTTCGCTTTTCTATTTCCTACTGTGTTTTGCAATAATTTTGGTGCTACGTTGAAAACTTCGAGAAAAACTTCATTGATTCACCATGCATCTGCATCATCAAAAGATAAACGGGTACAACAACTAATTGATAATCAATTTATCACTGGACTATATTCCGAAATCATTTTTCACATAAGAGAGTAATACCACCATCTGTATTTGGAAGGAAAATACCTATTTATCATTGAGTGAATAGTTAATTCACCTTTTAATACAATACCTATATTACATTTGTCCTCGGTTAAAAAGACATTTATAAAATATATAACTTTAGTGTTAATAAAATGTAATATCCTAGTCTCTACTTCACATTTAAATTATTGATAGGTATTTTAAAGATTTGAGATTATATATCTATTTGCTCCAAGTAAGTATTCGTTAAATATGTATTATTATTTGTATTTATTTTTATTTAAGTTATTAATAAACATATTTTAAGAATGTTCTATTTTATTATTTATTGATATATCTTATATGTATTTAATAATAATATGCAGAACCAACTCTCCACATCAGACCCCTTATAACAAATTAATTCCTCAAATTTGGTATAATCGACCTAAATTATTTTGTAAAATAAAAGTTTCTAACTTACTAGTTCCATACTTTATTTTATAAAATAATTTATGTGGAAATCATTTAAAATTTAATTTAACTACTACCTACTCCTAAAAATTACAATTTGAATTTACCGCCATCTGTCAATTGTCATTTTAGTTCCAGCTCCAAACACAAGGTGGCGCTAATTTGGTTTAAAAGTTTAACATTGGCGTGGGGTCTCTAGAAGATACGTGCTTTGTGCACTATACCTTCCTGTCGGCGATGTGGTGTACACTGGTGGATATTTTCTCCACCAGTTATTTAGCAGGAGTGAATTACACTCGACATGTGTATAAGGAATAAGGAGGAAGTAAATTAGGGTAAATAAGGTGGTATAACTGGTGTAATTTACACCAACAGCGAACGAAAGAACCTATTATTCACTGATACCACATACTTTGATTTTCTTTTACTATACGGAGAATGATCGCACTGCGCAGCTTTCTGAGTGCCTTTTAAAAGGAGATAGAGAACTCCACCATTTTGATCCCTTATTACGTGTTGCCTACATCTTGGCGCAATATTTTTAATGGTGCGTTTTAATCATCCGCTTCTGCTTTGGAATTGTCGGTTTTCTTGTTTTAATCTGACAGGTTAAAACGACTAAACCGACAATTACGAAAGCAGAAGCGGATGATTAAGACGCACCTGATATTTTGCTTGATGTGCTAAAAAATAGATTTTTGAATATTTGAAATTTTTTCTGTCAAAACTGTTCATAATTGATCAAAATGGCTAACTTATTCCTTCCAATCATATTTATTTTATTTACTTCCTCATAATATTTAATTAAAACAAATACGAGGTGTTCAAAAATTCAGACTAGGTAAAATATAAAACTACCTAGGCGTAGGTACACGGACTTTTGTATTTTTGTTGAAAACCAATAAACTTTTAAAAGTTTACATTTTATTATTAACTTACCTGTTCCATTTTTATACTATTTATCGATTTTGTCTTTTCCCTTAAGTTAAGATGACCTTAAATGGTACAGAAAACAATACACTTAGGGCTGGTTGTATAAAGCTTACTTAAAATTAAGCTCAGTTTTAGGTGATACATGTCAATTTCCGATGCTATATGTGCAGTCTAATGTTTGGGGAAACAAGCCGTAAGTGCTAAATGGTATTTAGACTGTGCCATACAAAATTTGTCATGTGTCACCTCAAACCGAGTTTAACTTTAAGTAAGATTCATAGAACCCGCCCTTAAGATATCTTTAACTTTAAGGAATCCTTAAGAAAGTCGTTGCAAACGGCTGTTAGTTTGACACATTGAATTACCTATTTAAAATTTTTATTTGTACCGGTCCGGTTGGTTCATGGTTCCTCGATTCTATCATAATTTGTTGTTTTATCGGCAAAGTAATTATAAAAGTAATTGCTAATTCCGTTTTTCATGTAATTGTAATTAAATCAATATAATTCCTATTTTTACAACATGTACTTTGTACTTGTAATTAATTCCTTTTTTGAAAATGTACTTTGTAATTGTAATTATTTTAAAAGTACATGTAATTACCCAGCTCTGGACATATAGTATATAACGGGTGTTCAAATTAAAGTGTTACAGTTAAATACTGCTGAAAAAATGCATTTCATAAAAAAGTTTTAGACAAAACTTTTATAGTTTTTTTGGGGGATACATTTTGGCTAAATTCATTTTTTTATAGCTGACCATAATATGGCCATATCAAAGTGAATTTTTTTTTCAAATTGGAACCCCATTTTTTACATATACATATAAAGTTCATACAAAATTAAGAAACTTTTAAAAGAAACATTTTTTTTATTTGACTTTTACTTATTGAGTAACACCTACTTGAAAAGTTTGTTGCGCGAAAAAAAATTGGCCATATTATGGTTAGCTATAAAAAAACGATTTTAACCAAAATGTTTTTTCCAAAAAACTTTAAACTTTCGTCTGAAACGTTTTTTTTATATAAAAGGTGGTCTTTAACTGTAACACTTTCATTTGAACACCCGGTATAAATCAGAAAAAGAAAAAAATTATATTTTTTAATGTGAAAAATTATCATTGCCGATTACACCTAGTAAGAAGAAATAGCAAGAAACTTACTAGGGTTGTGGGTTTTTCAAAATACATGTACTTAAATAAACATAATAAATAAAAAATACAATATTAGAAATAAAAACTAATAAAAAAATTATAGGCAAAACATATTTTTGTTTTCTTTGTGTTGAAAAGTTATCTAGCTTCAGTTTTCAATTTCAGTTCGACGAATTGTTTTGCCAACTTTTGCGCATCCCCTGACAATGCCATTCACAAAACTGCTTTACTATCCCTACACGCAGTTTTTAGTTTAATTTTTTCACACATTGACGTCTAATTTAAAAAAAAATCAAATCACTCATCTTCGCATGTAAATAGCTATTCGTTCGAATGAGAAAAAATCCTTAATTTTACATAAGGCTTGTTCTGGTTTCTTCAAAATGTACTGCAAACCGTCCGAGATCCAGTGAAACAGTTGAATATTTAATTGTGCGTCGCGTAAAACTTTTTAACTTTCCACTGGTTATCTAGTACTCGGACAGTTTTCAACTTATTTCTGAAGAACCAGAACAGACCTATAGTGTATATAAATGTATCAAATATTCTTTTTTCTACCCTTTTATGTCAGTACGTCACTGGAGACCGGAAACACTTGTCCGCCATATTAACCAATTACCGAATTTCTAGTTCTATGGGTGTGGTTTTGTTTTTTTTTTACTCGATGGCAACACTGTCGGAGAAATGAGTGTTTTGTGTTGTGGAAGTGAGACGCCATTTTTATTATTTGTGAACGTGCGGTAACTTCCGATAGTTTGTAAAATAATTAAACTAAACACTGACTTTTGTGAAAAGTATATTAAATTGTGAAAGACATTTAGTTTTGCAAATGTAAAAGCTAAGATTTGGAATCGTTTCCATTAGAGGTAATTGTAACGTTTTAATGTTTAGCTGCATTCCCAATGTTGCATCTACCGAACCATTACCTTCCTTTAAAAATTGATTTTCCTTATCTTACCTTTGACTATTTTATTTTCTAGTAGAATTGTTTTTTTATTTAATAGCATGTCTGTACACTACAAATTCAAATCGGCACTAGAATATGATACAGTTACTTTCGATGGCCTACATATTTCAGTGAAAGATCTAAAGAATGCTATCCTACAGCAAAAACGAATTGGAAAAAGTACAGATTTTGATTTACAAGTAACTAATGCACAAACTAAAGAAGGTATGTTTCCATACAAATATTTTTTTTTAGTTCAACAATAATCTAATGTTTTGTTTATCTTGTATTCAGTGTATGCTGACGAAAATGCACTGATTCCCAAAAATGCATCACTACTTATTGCGAGAATACCAGTGATACCACAAAAAAATAAGTCTTGGGAAGGATATGGGGGTGATAATACACCTCCGCAAGCAAAATCAGATGAGGGTGGACCCATAGCTAAAGAAGTTGACCTTTCGAACCTTGATGCCCCCGAAGATGACAAGATTAGAGCTATGATGTCTCAGTCTACACAGGAATATGACCCTAGCAAGTAAGTTTCTTTACCTTTACAAATGAAATCAAAGATATTTTAACTAGCTATATTGAATTTTGTAATGGATTATGTTCAGTATTGGACAACTTGAGTTTTTCAAATAATCAAAGAGGTAATTGGCACATTTAGTTACTTGATTCAATTACTGCTACTAACAGGTTGGTTTGTCATATATTTATTGTCATTAACTTTGATTCACTAATTAGTTTACCTTCAAAGCTGTAAGCAATTTAGAGGAATGTTCATGTCTTTATTTTGCCTGTGTTGGAAGCTTGGAATGGGCACTGAATTAACCAAAAAATAATAGTGATAACATCAAATTACTTTTTTTAGAACTGCAAACAATATTAAAAAAACATGTGAAACTCAATGACAGAATGGTTTGTTAGTGGAATGGAAATTATGTCACACTAATGTAGCATAAATATAGCTAGGTAAATTAGGAAAAGGATCCAACTCAAATGTGACCAAGACGTAAAATAATATAAAAATAACTCAAACCCAGTGTCACGTAATAATATGGAAAACAACTACTGAGGGAAACTGTTGCTCTTAATATTTTGTGACCTGGCTTTGAGTTACTTTATAACTAGGTAATTACAATTCCAAAATTTGTCTGCTATGCTACAAAATTCTTTAGCCTGCTCTTAATGGTGTATTACCACATAATTGGGTAAATTTTGAAAAATAATGCCTATTTCAATCCAAAGTATAAAACTGAGTGTGCCAGTCTAAAATATATTAATCTAAAGACCTCAAAAAAGAATGTTAGTTCCTTCATATACTTGACTTTCTTTGATAGTTATCCCTAAACAATTTAAAATTCCTCATTCAAATATTTTTTATTCTTTCACTATTAGTCAACCTCATTTTGAATATTGGCCTACCTTACTTTACGTGTTTGATTTAAATAAACTGAAATCACTACAAAAGCTTCAAGACCAGGCAATGAGAACTATTTTAAGTTGTAGCAGGCTTACTCCAATATTCTTAATGCTGGAGATCTTGGGAGTGATTATCTGAACAAAGGCTTATGTATTTGGCAATGTGCTATATCTATACATTCAACACGAAAACATTAACTTTTAAGGACTTTATTGATTATAACAATTTGCCAAGTTATATAATGGGTTCTAACTCATTTAATGGATTATTTATTTAAAAAAATATAGGTTATATTGTTAAGCTTAATTATTAAATTGATTAATTTCAATTTTATCTTATAGTTAGTATTGTTTTCTTTATTTTCATAGTGTCTATTTTACTCATGTAAATTTAATTCTTGTATACATTTTTTTTTTGTATGAATTTGATTGTATATTTTTTTTTTTGTATATTAGGTTGTACCTATCCTACTTTCAAATAAAGATTATAGTTATTTCAATACCAGAACAGAAATAATCTTACTATTCTTGGTAATTCTTTGATATTACTAAGTCATCAATCCTAGAAGATTCATAATAATAAGTCTGAAAACCATTTAAAATAGGAATTTTGTTGTTTTTAATATTTTAGTGTTGATTTGTAAAAATGATAGGCATTACATTTTTATAATAAACCTAATGAACTTAATTAGAAGGTCTGATATTGTCCAACTTAAAACAACTATAAAAAAGATAAACAAATATCTAAATATTTATAAAAAATCCTTATTATCCAAACACACCTGTAGTCCAATTACAGGATAAAATTGAATGTAGAGACAAGTGTTTTATAATAATACTTTAATGCTTAATTAAACCTAACATAACCGAATATTCAGTACTTTTACTTATTTTTAAGAAAATTGATAACATTTTGTTTTAAGCTTGGTTTGAACATATATATAAATTTGTGGAGTATAACTCAACCTGATTACATCATTTATTGAATTTGTTACACTTTGCAAATGGAGATTTTATAAACACATTTGTTCTTGGAAATGGTAAATGAAAACCTAATTAATTTTTTGAATTAAACCTTGGTATATTGAAATTAAGTTGATATAGTAATTGTAGGGAGTCAATAAGGTTATACACAAACTTATCAACAAAATATGAAGGAATAATACACATTAGAGATCGTTTTTTTGCTATTATAGGGTTTCCATTGTGGTAAACACTTTTCAAACGTTTTTCATTTAAAAGGCCATCATTCATATTAGCTTTTAAGTTTTTAAAATATTCAATTTGACAAGGGGTTTTATCAGAGGTACCTGCAATATGTTTAAAGTTAATGTCCGGTTTGATGAGTTTACTGCTTTTAATTCTTTTTATTCTTACAGATATGTCTAGGTTGGGATGCATTATCATGTTTTATTCCCAGGCGGAATGTTTTTTAAACATTTTCTGTGACATCATGAATGTTGAGAATTGATTGAATTTGGATTGTATCATAGATTGCTGAGTATCACTTCCAGTTAGGCAAAAATGACTAATGTTTTTCCTGAACTCTTGATCTGTTAGTTCGCTCATGATATATTTTAGATTTTCCTCGCTGCTTTGATTGTTTATAGTCGTGAGTCCATTTTCACCTTGAAATCATCTTTTAGGACCCCTAGTTCTGATTCAAACTTTTTGGATAGTTTTTCATTTTCGTATTGAATGAGAGCAAGTTGGCATTGTAATTTTGAATCCAAGTAGTTCTTTATGTTCTTAAAAAGTCCATCTTTATCGTTGTTGACAATTTTTGAAGAGGAACTGTTTGCAACACTTTCTTGTTTACCATCTGAATTAGAGGGGTTGCATAGAAACAGTTTGCCTTTGGAGTTCTTAAATTCATCAAAATAGAAATTAATTTCATCAGTTAAGTTGGCAAAATACCTGTGCATGTAATTGCTTTTTTTATAACACTCAAACATTTGATGCATGACATTATGGATAGTAAAACAATTCTGAATAATATTTAAATATTGTAATGCATTCCTATTAATTTTGGTGTTATTGGTAATATTTTTAACCTAATAGATATTTTATTTATATGTATATCCTATTTCAGTAACTTTTCTTAGTTTAAAACTAAATTTTTTAATTGAAATAAATAACTATTAGTATTATTGCAGAATATTTATTTTACAACAAAAAATTGCATATTACCTACCCTGATAATTTTGTTCAAATCCACAAATTATAAACAAATTGACACTTATAAGAATGTCCATTAAAATTTACTAATCTAAAACTTTGACAGATGTCATTAGTTATTAAGAAATAAGTGAAGCTTAAAATTACATTTTTGTTGGCTTGTTTCTTAACAATGGACCTTGGGTTCATAAATTTTAACACCTTGACTGGCAACTACGAGATAATTCATACTTTGCGTTCTTGGCTTGGATGCCGACTATGACTTATCTCCTAGTTTGTTTACTTGCCATATTTGTGCTGCTACGATTAAATTCGTTGCATATCAGTGTAAATGTGAATAGATAGTTTCTGGAAAGAGAACAAAAATCAAGGATGGCTTACATGAACAGAAAATATATAAAATTTATACAAAATAAAAATAGTTTTGTTTATGATTTACTACTAATTTAGATGCATATCTCTGACTTAGCTGTAGATACATCAGGTCTTTATATTTTCTGTTTACTATAATTACAGTTTTTATATGATTAAATTAAATGGGTTTTCCAGACCGGAATTCTGAAAATTGCCGTGACAGTCGACATGTTAAATTACATTCTTGCATCTGGCTAATATAATGGTTTTAAAGTTGCATAAACAATATAGATTTGTTTTAACCCCTAGTTCATTAGCTTGTCTCTGTGATGACAACCCAGCAACATAGTTCTTTGTTTTGTGTTAATAGATTGATTTTAATTTTTTAGTTATATGAAACTTCGAGGTGCTAACCAAGTTGGACCTGTACCACCAAACTATCGTTGCTACAAGTGCTACCAAGGAGGGCACTGGATCAAAGACTGTACTTTTAGTATGGGAACTGTAAGTATTTTTTGTATAATATGTAAATACGTTCATAATATAATGTGTTATAATTTATTCTTCAATAAATTCTGGTTAATGGTATTTGTTTGATTTTACTGTGATAGCCCTATTCCTTAATACCCCAGATTTATCCTTTATATAATCATTTCAATGTAACTTTAATATTTCCTGAGGATGATAAAATAACAGACATAAATGTAGTAAATACTGGACAAACAATATTTTGAATTAATAAAAGTTATTAGGGGTAAGGGAAGCCATATGTGAGTGCTTGGAATTGAGTATGAAGGTGAAAAGAAAGGTTCAATTTGCCTTACACCTTTCGGCAAAAAAGGCTTCGCTTATATATACTCTCATAAGTTTCTTTGCAGGTAATGTTTATATTACTTGATATTTAAAAATATACATGGAATGAAAAATTCTTACAGGAACGTTGAAACCACCATTTTTCAAATTGCATGTTTTTTATTAATTGAAAATATTTGACAGCGATTACAAATGGAAATTAATGTAAATGGCATTTTTCAAATCTTTATACTTGAATATATAAGTGATACTGATTACAATCCTTATATTATAATTTTGTATATTTAAGTTCACGTTAATTTTTTAAATTGGGGTCGGTCAGTTGTTTTTTTTAAATAGAACTGAACCATATGGAATACCAATTTTTGGATTACTAAGACTCTAATCCTAACTCTTTGTACTCGTTCGCTTAGGTGACTCTCAAAAATCCTTAATATGGTGTCCCCATTCTATTTTGTTCTAGAACATTTAGAAGTTTCGGATGTGACTTTGTATCAAACGCCATTGCTATACTTGTATTATTGTTTTCATATTTCATGCATTGCTTGAGTTAAACCCTTCTTTAAAATCGCAGAGGCTAGCCGCGAGACTAGTGTGAATTCACGTTATCGTGGTTGTTAAGCAGTCATATCTCCGGTCACGTCGTGGATGAGTGACCACTGGCCTTTGCCGACTAGCGGTTAATCATCAACGACGTGGAATGAATGGCGATTAATGGGAGGGAGTAAGGCATCCAAATGATGGCTCAATATGCCTTCACTGTCGTCATGCGAACCCCAAGAGGAGGGAAAGCAGGCTAGACCCAAGCCTGATTGGGGCGAGCAGAGGATGCCTGAAAGGGTGAAAAAGGTTAATTAATCGGTTAAGAATGTCCTAATTTTTTTGCAGTATTACTAATTAAACGTATAGATTTGGATTGCCTGCTATATATACAGGGTGAATCCTAAGTTGATACTTTTTTTTTTAATATGCATAGAAGTCGAGAGAGAAACCACCATGGTCAAAAGGTGTCCATATTTCAGAAATCACCTAAAATTATTGTATATGATTTCGCTGAAAATCCCCCTTAATTTTTATATGATGATTATGTTTACTATTCCCTTGTCTTTATATTCAAAAGCTGCTGCATTTGCATATTTGAGCCACGAATTAGTTTCGGTGATGATTTCGACCATGTTTTTGATAATTTGTAGTGATTTTGAGTAAAAATGTACCAACATTTCGGAAATGGTTCGCCCCTCGAGAGAAGTCATTAAAATAAACAACTTTCAAAAGAACTCTGGTAAATAATGTGATCAAAGTTTTCACCGATGAAACACCTTTATGCATTTTGAAGACACTTGCTATAAATAAGCAACATATTATTTTCACTTGTGCAGCGTATAGGAGGTCAGGGAGCGATGCCCGCACCCTCGCCTTATTCGTTTAGAGCACTTTTGCCCCACAAAAAAAGGTATAGAGATAAAATGTAAACTTTTCTTCGATTCACAAATCCAGGCCCTGATTTAAATTGTTTAATTTATCTTTTTTATTTTTAAGTTTTTTGAAAAAATGTTTATTTTAACGACTTCTATATAGAGTCTAAAAAAGTATCAACTGAGAATTGACCCTGTATATATAGGGAATGGAATGTTTGAACTGTTTTAGCAGTGCCAGTAAAGGAGATTAAATTGTTTTAGTGGTTTCAGTAGGTAAAAGTTTTGAATATTTTACCCTCCAGTCCTGATGAACTTGGAATTTTTTAAGCTATTTTTACAGGTTGTAACAAAAAGAAGTACAGTTAATCTAACCACAATTTCTGCGGTCGAAAATAAGTCTATTTGCTTGCATAAAAAAATGGATAGTAAAAAAGTTACAGATTGTTAAAGAAGAAAGTTTACACTTTTTTTTATTCATTGTGTTGTTATTTGTATATTTTAATGTATATGGTTTAAAATTTTTATTGTATATAGTTATTCCTTTGTATTATCGAACCCAATAAAGTTGTAAAATACTAAAAAAAAAAGTGAAAAAATATTCAGTGGTTTAAATAAGGATCAATATAAAAATTTCATTGTATTTTTCACTATGACCTTCCTTCTAAGGCCTATAACTCAGTAAAAAGGCTTTTACAAATACTAGGAGGCAATTTTTTTTTTTAATAAATGTAGCATTTTAGTAGTGTTTTTAAGTAAATTCCATTGTCTAAAAAAGTAAAGGGGTCAAAGGGGTGTGGAACAAATCTAAAAAGCTATAATTTTAAACGCCACAAACTTCATTGTTCGCTGTTTACTAACATCCCATATATATTTTCATAAAATTATATTAAGGCGTTTTAGAGTAAGAGCAAAAACTCACTTCTAAAATTTCTACTTTAACACCCTGTTACTTTTTTACTATACATTTTTTATATAATCAAGTCAGTTTGAATCAACTTATTTTCGACCTCAGAAACTGTGGTTAAATTTACTGCACATATACGGGCGTTAGGAACATTGATTTGTTATATCACATTAATGAGAAATTGTGCATTGCTGTCAGGGATATTTTCAAACATTGCGAAATAGCTGTTGCAATAGTCTACCATTTTTATATATATATATTTTTTTTTTTATTGACATTAATAATTGTTTATTGGGTTTTTCATTGGTCACTTCAGAAATCATTGAAAATGTTTTTTTCAAGTTTAATATTATCCATTTCTTTATAATAATTATTCTTAGTTTTTGTAATTTTACACTTTATATTCGCTATTTTTTTGTAAATTTTAATTAATTTGTCCCTAAATTTTATTGATTTTATTAGCCCATTTGTTATTCAGTGTTTTATCTGTTTGTATGCTTGATTTTTCATATTTTTTATAGTTTTACAACTTTAAATTATATTTGTTAATTTATCAATAATTTTTTGTGTTATTTTTGTTATATACTCCCATTTTAGTGATATAAATATCATACTTTCTCTTTGTATTGTAAAACATTCACTGATTAACATAGGAATTATTCTATTACATAACACCTAAATTTAATTCACATGTTTCTGGCTAGTTTAACGAGGGGTTGATTCGAGTTTATCCTGTAAAGTTTTTTTCATTCCATATACACCACAAATGGTTATTTGAATGCGCAACAAATATAATTTTTTTCTGTTTGAGTCAGTTTGCCATTGGCTTCAATTATGTCTTCCTTATTTGAAACATTCTATCTGTAAACAAAATAAAGTATGATCGCTATTGCAATATCTAGTGGTTTTTTTTTATGTTTGTGTCCTAATTGCTCCCCATATAACCAAAAGTATATTTATACACTAATTTAGAAAAACTGCTACACGATTTGTTTAGTTATATCCATTAGGAAGTTGTAAATAAGGAAACAAAGATTTGATTAATTAACAAATTAATACTTTTTTCTCATATCTACAATAATTTCAATCTCAGAAATAATTAATACTAAATTAAGCTTAAATAAAATGACACAAAAATCTATGGTTACCAACAGTCAAAAAAAAAATCCTGCAACAAATTCAACGAGTTTTTGATTAGGTAAAAATAAAAAAGTGAATCGTACGATCTACTTAGGTACTTGTTTTTTTGATAATATAAATTTACACATGCACTGATATAATTTTAAATTAGCCACTGTTTATATTCCTGTATTAAATTAGCACTGCAATAAATATGAAATATATGTTACCAATCACGGCCGTTTTTTATTTGTGGTTACCTTGCACCAACTGTGTTCCTACTTGTGCACTGGTCATGCCATGCTTCATCCCATTTAACCCACAATAAATAAGTTCCTAGAGTCTAGTGTAAATGAAAATTTTGGCGATTCTCAATAACCTGAACATTCAGCTTTGTACTAACCCACGCTACATTTCCTTGCTTTTATTTATTATGCAGTTCCAATATTTAACTTTTTCCTCTAGTACTGCTATAAACGCATGTTTCTGTGATTTAATAATAAAATAAAGAAGGGGATTTGAAGTCAAAAAGGCGCAAAGTATAAAAAATTGTATAACTCGTTTCAGTCATTTATTGCACAACACCAGAAGTATATGATGTGTATTATGTTTTAATTGGCCCTAATCCTTAAATAAATAAAAGAACACATTTTAGGCTGACACCAAAATTAATAAAAGTCTTAAAACATATCCAAATTTCAACAATTTGAAAATGCGAAGAAAAATAAATTATTTTTCATTGACTCCAATTGGCAAATAGTTCAGTGATTCTGTTGTCAATATGCACCATTTATTTTTATAGAATTTCTATAAAATACCATGTTAATATCTTCAAAGATTATTTTTGTGGTTTGGACACTTTTTAAGACTTTTCGTCAGTTTTTCTCATCTATCACACTAAATTTTGTTAAATCTTAACGTTAACATTATGTGAAGGAACGAAAATAATTTTTATAGAAAATTTTAAACTTTTTATTGATATTCCACAAATATAAATAGTTTAACTTGAAAATGTGCTATAAGTAAATTACTTGTTCTTTTTTTACCAAATATTTTTTATTTGCATTTTAAAACAAACATAAAAATAATTAAAATTAACTTCTTTATTTTATGGAGAACTTTAAAACATCAGTTTTTTTTATGGTTTTTCAACGAATTTATATATTAATTTATCTTTTTTCTGTCAATTCAGATAAAAATAATTTAACTCTTAACCAACATTATTGCGCTATTTCACTATTATTTACTAACAAACTAGTTGAATGATAGTTTAAAGACTTTAAAAATGATAACAATATTTTCTCTTTTGTTAGACTCAAGATCCAGTCGACATAAAGAAAAGCACCGGCATCCCGCGGAGTTTTATGGTAACAGTTGACGGTCCGCAAGTACCTGGCGCCATGATGACCCCAAACGGACAGTTCGCTGTGCCCCTAGTGGACCACCAAGCATACACTCAAAAACCTGTACCTATGCCTGTTCAAGCGCCTAAAATGGATATTCCGGAAGATTTATTATGCAGCATTTGCTCCGATTTGTTGACGGACGCCGTAATGATTCCTTGTTGTGGAAATTCGTTTTGTGATGAATGCATTAGAGGAGTATTGTTAGAAAGTGAAGATCACGAATGTCCCGATTGTCATGAAAAAGATATTTCACCGGATACTCTCATTCCAAACAGGTGAGGTTTTGGATTATTTTGAAGTTTAGCTACTTGTGACACCATCCTTTATATTTTCTTTCTTTTTGACAAATATACAGAGTGACCGCGAAAATAGTACGTTCTTTAAAGGCATAGTGGAGCAATATTATTATTGCTAATATTATACTCTTCACACAGTAGTCTGCAGTAGGTTTACTTTGTCTCTTCGTCCGATAAGTCAAAAACGAAAAATTATATCAATTTGAAATTTTTAGTAAAAATCAAGCTCTATAAGGGGACAAAGCCTATTCATTTTGAAAAAAATTATATTAAAAATGGAGGCTAAGTGGGATTGAAATTAAAAAAAAAAATCCTAACTCAAAAACTAAAAGCGATATCAACATGAAATTTTTAGTAAAAATCAAGCTGTATAAGAAGATAAAGTCTATTGATTTTGAAAAAATCTAATTAAACATGGGGGTTAAAATATTAAACGAACAATAATATCAGCTTGAAATTTTTTGCAAAAATGAAGCTCTATAAGGAGACAAAGCCTATTGATTTAAAAAAAAAAACTTAATAAAATGGGGGGTCAAGGGGGTTGAAATAAAAAAATAAAATAGAAATCAAAACCCAAAAGCGATATGAAAGGAAACGTGAAATGTTTAGTAAAAATTAAGCTTTATGAGGGAATGAATAAATAAAAATGGGGAGATAAGGGCAGTTGAAATATTGAAAAAATCCTAACTCCGAAAAAAAAATGTCAAATTGAAATCTTCAGGAACAATTAAGCTTTATAAGGGCATGAAGCCTATTGATTTTGAAAAAATCTGATTGAAAATGGGGGTTAAGAGAGTCTGGTAAACTGTGAAGAGTATAGTATGGAAATGCCAAGCATTTTAGACACATCTTTTCTAGGTATAATGTAAAAATTGCGCATAAAACAAACAATACAACAAAAACTTTATTTTGAAATTTTAAACTCAAAGTCAAGAAAGCAAAAGAATAAAATGCCATAAAAATATTGTTTCAACAAATAATGAAAATTCTACTGTTTTAACAAAACGTGCATTAGTTTTCCATACAAAGTTTTTGAGACACATTAGCTTCGTTCGCGGTAACAATCCTGAACTGATTCAGAATTACTAATTCATACTTTGAGCGCATGCCTGATTCATTATCAATTCTGAATTTTCACCGCGCGCGCAATCCCTATTATATCTTTGTTTCAGGTATAGACAAGCGGTTCAAAACCAATAATAATTTTACCGCGAACGCAGGATAGAACCAATAGTTCAGTTCTTTGTTCCGCGAACGCTTTTTAACTACTGCGCCTGCGAAATCGTTACTATTAGTAATAATTCGGTTCAGGATTCTTACCGCGAACAAAGCTATTATATGTATTATGAATGTTTTATCCTAAAAACGAAACTATATTCAAACGTGAAATGATGCTTTATTCTCACAGAAATTTTGTTTAAAAAGATCTTGAAAATATTAATGTTCATTTTAATCTCTTATATTTTATTAAGAGGAATATAATATATTTTTCACGAAAAAAACCAGAAAAGCTTAAAATGGCATAAATTGAACGTTTTAATTTACAGTGATTGGGCGTATACATTCAGTCTAAAATAGTCTTACCAAATTTCAACATTGCCCGAAAATGTATACAGGGTGACTCGTATTACGGTCGTAAAATTAAATATTTAAAAAAAATTCTTACATTTAGTCAAATAGAAATTAACAGCAGAGGCACTCACTTTTTTTCAGTGAGGGCTGGGAGCAAAGGTTTTGAAAACACTTTATTTTTAATACGATTTCCATGATCTTATTTTATTATAATTAAAATACAGATAAGCAAATCGTTTAAAATCGTATTAAAAAAAGAGTGTTTATTTAAAACCCATGCTCCCAGCCCTCACTAATAAAAAGGTAAACGCCTCTGCTGAATTCCAGCTTTTAATTTCTAATTGACTAGTTGTAGGATTTTTTTTTATATTTAATTTTATATCCGTAATATGAGCCACCCTGAATACATTTTCGGCCAATGTTGAAATTTGGTAAGACTATTTTCGCCTGAATGTACACGCCCAATCACTAAATTAAAACGTTCAGTTGATCCTATTTTAAGCTTTCCTGTTTTTTTTAGAGGATAAAGTTCCTCTTAAATTCGTTTTTTTTTTTTTTTTTATTAAAATTGATTGTGATTTTTTTTTTAGGTTTTTAAGAACTTCTGTGGCAAACTTTAAAAACACCACAGGCTATGTTAAAATTCCTACTCGTAAACCACCCAGGCCAGAAGTTATTACAAGTATACCTATTGATCAAGAAGTAAGTGATTTTTTCATAAAATGTATGTTTCAATAAATTTTCTAAATATTTTTTTATGTAAAGTAACAATTAATCTAACTTGGAATTGTTTTATATCATAGAGTACACCTTCAGTTGAAGACCCGGCTGCTAAAATTGAAGTGGATTCTGATAAACAGACTGTCATATCTGAAGCTGATTCCACGGAACCTATAAAAACGGTCAATAATAATTCTGATACATTAAAAGTAAGTTTTTTTTTTTAAATCTTCAATTTGTATGACAATTAAATTTTCAGAAAAAAGACGATGATGATGATGTTGGTGGTGGTGACCGATACACTCAAAAGGAACCTGTTGATGGTCCACCAGGAGTCTCGCCTAGGGGTTCCCCAAGAGATAGCCGAAAATATAGAGATACTTCTCCTAGGAGTCCTCGTGATCGTAAGTAAAATCGAATCGTCAGATTTCATCTTAAGTTTCACTTCTATAGTGCGTTCGATAACACATTCTTTTTTGATAAGAAATGTGCCCCAACAGTTTGTCATTAAATCTTCAAGATGACGTTTTGTTTCGATGTTACGGTTTAGAATATAGAAATTTTGGCACATTATAAAATAAACAATATTTCAAGTATCTTTAAAATAAGATACTTTATTAATTTTTGGGGAAATTGTTAAATACACAAATTAAAAAGTTAATAAAAATATTTCGAAAAGTGTAATCGCTAGCATAAACTTCCCAAAAAAAATTAAGTCTTACTTTAAAAACATCCGAATTTTTATTCTCGACACGTGGTATATTGTAAACAATTTACAGGGCCAATTCGTAATAGACGTAAAAGTAGAAGTTTAACAAGGAGTCCTTCTCCAAGAAGGAGTCCCAGAAGTCCTCGACGTCGAAGATCTCGATCTAGGACTAAATCTAGGTAAGCTAGTAAAACAATAAAGAGTTAAAAAAAATAATACCCATACAAATATAATTGAGAATATGAGGAAACCACTGCTTTACATCAACATGAATAAATCAAAATTTATTTGGAAAAGATTGTTGAGTAGTTTGTAATAATGTCAACTCTTAAAAAAAATTTGGGACGTGTTACACATTTGTCACTAACTTCACTTAATACTGTTATGATGTCATTGTTTAATTGCAGTTTTTAAACGATTATCTATTTAAAAATATATTTTCAAAAGTTATTAAATTATTTGCATTTTAGATTCCTGAAAATAGGGTATAGAATATGATCCTGTTAGTTATATTACTTTATTTCATAGAAATTAGTAAATTGATTTCATAAGCCTAAAAACTTATTTCCAGAAAACTGGGCTTATTATTAAAGTTGGCTTGATTAAAATATTCGAATATTAAATGGAATACTTACCCTGACCAACATTTTTAATGAAATAATTTATACCTCGCGTCAGTATTGTACTACACTCACGTCTGCATTACAGATGAGGTATAGAGCCCGCTCAGGTACTGGTGACAAAAATTATTATTGAAATGTACATGGTTAATCAGTGAATTTTATTTATTAGAAGAAACAATATCTGTACCTGCACCATTTACACTATTAAAAACTACTAATATGATTTTTATACATTTGTTATATAAATTATTTGAAATTCGGGGGATTTCAATTAATTTGGAATAATGAAAGATTTAAGTTAAATTCTATATTAATTGAAGGATTGTAAAGTGACCAAGATGTAAAATAAAATAGAAATAGTTATTGCTTATAGGATTTTCGTTTAAATAAATTGGAATAAACTTTTCTTTATAATAATAAATTAAAAATTATTTCTTTTAATAAAAATTATATTATAATTATTGATAAACTTTTTATTTCAAATTCATAGTACCTGTTTTCAAAAAAGGTGACGTAAAAAATGTGGATAACTACAGACCAATTAGTCTTTTAAATTCTTTCTCAAAAATTTTTGAAGGGGCAATGTGTAAAAGGGTATCAGAATTTGTTATGACCTGTAACTTATTAAGTAAAAATCAACACAGTTACCAGCATGGGAAATATACTGAAACGGCAATTTTTGAGTTTGTTCAGCATGTTCTAGGTGATCTGGAGAATGGTAGGCTGGCTATGGGCCTATTCTTGGACTTGTCCAAAGCCTACAATTGTCTAGACCATGAGATAGTGATGGACAAGCTGGAGAAATATGGAATTAAGGGGGCCTGCATTAGGGTGGTTCAAATCATATCTTAAGGATAGGAAACAGGTTGTCAAAATATATAAAAATAATGAGGAAAGTGGATCTGTAGAAATAGCATCTCTCCCTCAGGGAAGTATAGTAGGTCCATTAATTTTTATTATTTATGTGAATGAACTAAACAGCGTTATGATTGCTAATGAGAACTGTGTGCTAACCAATTATGCAGATGACACAAATATCTTAATAAATGCATATAATATAATGGAATTAATCCTAAATGCAGAGAGAGAGAGATAACTAAAGCTAAAAAATGGTTTGAAATAAATTAATACTCAATGAGGGCAAAACAAATGTGGTACTTTTTAAAATCAATTACAACAGAGATGAAATGCCAATAAATATTCAACTAAACAACTGTATATTTAAGGTCTCAACTAGTACCAAGTTACTGGGGTTATATATTGATAGTTTTCAGGTCTGCGAAAGCCATGTTGAGTTTGTATGTACAAAACTGAGCCAGATCTGTTACAGCATCAGAGTTGTAAAGAAATATTTAGAATGGGATAGTTTATAAATGGTAAACTTTGCAAATTTTGAATCCAGAATTAGATATGGGATAATATTCTTTGGTGGGAGCAATTCAATTGAAAGGGTTTTTTTATTGCAAAAAGAATAATGTGGATTATGCTTAGTTTGAATATGAAAGAGTCGCGTAGAGTTAAATTTAGAGAAAATAAAAACTGATAGACATATACATCCAGGAATGCTTAATTTTTTTATTTTAAAATAGAGGTTTATTTTCAAATTTTGAACCAACAAATGCTTATATATTGGGAAATATAAACCTAGTATATCCAATACATAGGCTGACAGCTACAGAACATGGAGCAGGGTACAGCTGTGTAAAGTTGTACAATAAACTGCATGATGCAATAAAAGTATTTAAAAGGGAAGTACATGAATTGTTAATTAATTTAGAACCATATACAATTAATGAATATTACTCTATGTGGACATTAATATATTTTCCTTGACACTGTTTTGTTTAAGAATTGTCTTACTTATATGTATTGTGATTGTTCCTCAAAATAAAGATTATTATTATTTATGTATCAAGGGCATAAAACAGTTTATAGACCGCAACGTGTAAGTAAGAGTCAGAGGCGCTAGGCGAGGGCTATTAACACGTAAGGTCCATAAACGCTGTTTACTCCCGAAATACATACAAACTTTTATGCACGACCCTTTTAATGATAATTTATTAACAAATATGTAAAATTTTATATACGACCGTTTTAATGATCGTTTATTAATAAATATTATTTTCCCTTTTTCGCTTTTTGTGAGCAGGTTACTATAAAAGAAATTTACCGCGGGCGGTAAAATAATCCGCGTGCGATAAAGGGGCACTCTACGCCCGCTAAACGTATTTATTATCTGAACTTTATCGCCCGGTTGTTCATAAAAAATTATCAAAGCCCCAATACACAAAATGATTCATCAACTATTTTGTGACATATGGCTTCCAGAATTTATTTTAAATATTTATTAGTTTTCTAAACAGAGGATGGAATATTAATCTGGCCTGTAAGTTTTGAGAAAAACGCAAAAAACTTTTTCAATAATTCTTTTTTATTTTAATAGTTAAAAACTTTTTTTACAAATAGTTTTTTTAGATGCGTTTTTACCATTCTGTTAGCATTTTATAGAAAAAAACAAGTTTTCTTTGTACCCTGTTAGACAAAATAGATTTTTGAATTTTCAAGATTGTATTGTAAATGATATAAAAAAATGTATGGTTATCAATACAGGCGGTTTTCTAAAAATAATATGAATTTTTCAAATTTCGATAGGTACTTTGTATACTTATAAGAGAATATTCAGAAAATCATAACTTGATTTTTTAGTGATAAGATTTCTTTAATTTCCCGTCTTTTAATAAAAAGTTGCAGTCGACTAACACAAACAATAATAACAGTTTATTGGCACGAGAAATCACAGTTTACCACACAACAATAAATGTATAACATTAAAAACTGTTTAATGAGATAATAAATAATTAAGTTTACAAACACACGCAAATAATTATAGTGGTTTACGTTATAAATTACCTATATCTTTACATGCGATTATGGCTGTTAATATGCAAGCGTGCGAGCACGTAGAGATCAGGTAACGGGCGTGTATCGTACAACGTTTTATGATATACTGCAATTTACTACTTTTTTAAAACCTAAAATCAAATACAATTTTTTGACACCATCATTGAATATGACTTAAAATAATGACAGTTCAGTCCTAACTGTTGTTAAAAATTTTACCGGGCTAGCCCTTTATGACTCTCTTAACAACCATAAAAAGAGGTTGGTTACCACTGCATAACATTGCAGTGTATCATAAAATTTATAACAGCGCATAAAAGCTCAATAAACAGAAAAATAATTGACTAATACACCAGCATGTTGGGTATTTTCCTTACCTTCAAACGTTGCCGCTAAGGAGCAGCTCCAATCAGTGCCATATTTTTCAAAAATTCGTATGCATTACCGCAAAAAAGTAGATATTTGAAATGTTAGGATTCATTACCTATCGACCCTTGAAGTTAGATTTTATAAAAATTATAAACTTAAATTTTTTTATTTTCATCTCAAAAATTTAGCCTAAAAGTAAAATTTTAAACCCAACAGTACTTACTGTATTTTATGCAAAACATGTCTTCAAAGTTTATTTTAAATTACTTGAAAAATATAGATACAGCATTAATTTAAAAATTACGGCGGGGTATATATTCCTTTTAATGTCTCACTTTTAAGTAGATTTTCCAAAGAATCTAGTATTTCAATTAATATTTCTAGATAAGTGAGGTTAGTTGCAGGTGATATACAGATAACAAATAATACAAACACAATTTTGAGCTTATAAATAATTTTGACGCCATTAATGTCGACGTCATCAATGAGGTGCATTGGACTTTATATTGAAACCATTATAGCATGCTACATTAAAAATGTATCTAATAACAATATCTCTGAAAATTTTAGATCACGAGAAAGAAGATCGGGAACCCCAACTATAGACGAACCGCTTGGTTCTAGTAACAGCTTTCCTCCAACGACATTTGGAACTTCTGCTATTACAACAGTTGGCCCAATTCAGGTAATTATTATAGAAATAATCGTAAAAGAGAATGATAATTTACTTCGATTCATTATAGGGTCATCCGTCTCAAGTTCCTGGTAACTTCCAACCACCAATTGGAACGTTTCCTACGCAAGGACCTCCACCAAACTATAGATTTCCACCACCAGGGGGCGCAGCTCCTTATATGCCACCAGGGTTAGTTTTTTATAAATATATATCCATATTATTTTATTTATTGTGAAATTTTAATAATTCTTTTTTTTTATATTTTTAGTCCCTACAGTGTTCCTCGTGGCATGTTCGACGCTGCAAGACCCCCTATCGGTGGACCCCCTCCGAATTTCCAAAATTTCCCTCCTAGAGGTCATCGTGATTATAATAGAAGAATGCTAGACAGAGCACCTGCTGGGTAAGAAATTTTACTTACCTTCTCCATAATGCATTATGACTTACTTGATTTATTTTTCACAGGGTCATAGATGATCCCCTGGCGGCTTTTAACAGATTGTTGAGAGAAAAGGATGAACAGAAGCGTAGAGCTAAGCAAAGAGGTTTTAGGAGAAGCTACAGTCGAAGTCGTAGTCGCAGTAGAAGTTATAGCAGATCTCCTGTTAGGCGGAGGAGTAGATCTCCGAGGCCGAATAGACGATCCAGAAGTAGGTCAAGATCGTTCTCTTTGAGTCGGTGAGTTTTTTCTTATCATTCTATCAGTATCTTAGATCGTGATGTAGTTTTGTGTAGCATAGAATATAATATTTGTATACCTCAAAAGAATATTTACAGTTGATTGGAATTCTGTATTAACTAATACAGACCCCATACAGAACTTTCATGAATGTTATTGAAAATATTTAATTATGCTTGTTCAGATAGAACTGTTAAAGTTGAAAACCGGAAATTGGTATAAGAATATCAGCAAAAAATAATAATATGCATTGTCTCTATGATAAATAATAAATATTTTAATGCTACCATTCTATCTATATATATCTATAATCAAGGCAACCAAGCAACTGTACTGTAAAAAAACCGTAACTACTAATGAATTAAATAACTGTGAACACAAGTAATTATTTAAAAAAATTATTCGTTATAGGTGAATAAAATTGAAAAATGAATACAATTATTCAAATGTCCTCCCTTCTTGAACACGTTTTGGCTATGGACGTTTTTACAGTTTTCTGACATTTGCTGGTCCCAAAACCATATCTGGATTACAGCCTCAATTAGTTTTGTATTTGTCTAGCCCACAGATTTTGTATTAGATTAAGATCTGGTGAGTTTCCAGGCCATTCAAGGCATGGCATCTTTTTATCCTTGAAATATTTTGTTATCACCTTGGACACGTGACAAGGAGCCGAGTCTTCTTACAAGGCTCTGTGTTTTTACGAGATCATCATGCCTTTGATCGACATACAAACTCTGGTACCTTTATAAGAGAAGCAGCCTCAGGACATGTTCTTTGACGGATTTTTAACTGTTTAATCAATATGAGCTAAAATCAGTTCAAATTTATTTTGTTTCAATATTAAAATAAATTACCTAATAGTAAAAATCATTATTTAAAGACATTGATTAAGCATCGAACCTAAGTGCCCGTTTTGCTTCTACTCAATCAGATGACTTTATTTTATCTATATTTTTTTATAGAAACAGATATGCGCTAGTTCAGTGTGATTGTATATTTGATGCATGTTATCAACTTACTTTAGGAATATATTTATAAAAGTGAAAAAACGATATAATTTAGGTTAATAAAACGAACAAAACGCACTCAAAAAATCTACTGTCACTTTAATTGTCAGTGGAACCGTAATTACATCATCACTGAACTAGCGCATTGAAGTACACTTATTTATCACTTAACTAAAGATACAATATTCAAAAATAAGAACAAGATACGAAAAATATTGGACAGAATAAATAGATATATAAAAAAAATTGCTGCCGTAAGTTTTTTGTTGTTACTTTATCTAACGTAACGACAACAAATGACTTTAAAGTTGTTTTACCACTTTTCGTTCTGGTAAAGTTGAGAGAGTTCTCATTCATTTCATAAAGTAAGTGTACACGTAACCCATTCTTTATTTCTGAACATTTTAACGTATAATAAGTTCTCTCTTGTTTCTCCTCACAGTCTATCTATCTCGGCATTGAATGAACCTTTATTAATATAGGAATATATCCCGGGAAAAGGGAAAAAGAGTAATTTCATAAAAAGTGACATTTTGTTAACTGACAAGAGAGATAAAATGTCAAACTTTTCCCGCCACAGAAAAAATATAATTTTTTTGATCTTTCTTATGTAATTAAAATGATCACTGAAGGACAGACTAATGTCCAACATAAACCTTAGATATTTGAAATTGGCCATAACTTCAATTTTCTCATCATCATAGTTAAAACTACAGTATTAAAATCTAGTTGTCAGTATGTATAAGTTGTTGTTAAGATCATGACTTTGGTTTTTGTTATATTCAATTTTAACTGATTAAGTTGATTTAGGGAAGTGTTTGTCGTGGCTATGGCAATATCCAAGTAATTATGCTTCACAGACAACAATGTATCATCCACGAACAAGTTGATAAAATCACATGTATGGTCAATGTCATTAGTGTAAATTAAGAAAAGTAAGGAGCCTAGTATGCTTCCTTGGGGTACGCCATATTTCGAATTACAAGGATTTGAGAGGACATTATTCGCCTTTGTAATTTGTTGTCGATCGTTTGGGTATGTTTTTTTAAGCCATGCCAAAACAGTTCCCTTGTTTCCAATAGATTCCAATTTTTTAATCAATATTAATCGGTCAATGGTTTCAAAAGCTCTTCTCAAATCCAAGAAAACTGCTACTATAAAGTCACCTTTGTCAATAGATTGGGTCCATTTAGTAAGTGTTAGTTACAAAGCTGATTCACATGAATGATCCTGTTGAAAACCTGATAAGAATTTTGTTTCTATTAATATATTCAACAAGTTGTCTGTATACAGCCATTTCTAGTAATTTTTCAATACCTGATCAAGTGTTTATGGGTCAAAATTCACTAGCTTTATTGGTGTTTTTAACTTTAGGTACAGGCACAATTATACTGATTTTTAAATCATTAGGAAATTTACCATATTCAAGTGTTATATTTATAAAGTGAAGCAAAACATGACCCAAGACACAGAGCCCATAGGTACTCTTTAAAAACTTTGTATCTATTAGTTCAGAACCTGATTTATTTTCTAAGGTATTAATAATTTTTGTAAGATTTTTTAATTCGAGCAACTTAAGTTCAGAAAATGTGGAATTTATTAGTTTCACTATGCCAGCCAGTCAAGAGGAATAGAGTTAACAATAGCTTCTATAGTACTCCAAAATACAAGATAAAATTCTCTGAAATTTAATTAATGTGCTTGGCAATTGTCAATTGACTTTCAAACTCAAACTAAATACTTTTTGGAAAAGAGGAATTTATTTTTGTGTCAGTTAGTGATTTAATAGTTTTCCACACATTTCTTGGATGCTTGGAACACATACCTATTTTGTTATAGTAATATATTCCTTTTTTTTTTTTTATTTTAATAAATTAACTGCATCAGTTCTCAATCTTTGATATTTTACTCAATTATTTTCACTTTTATTATTTTTAAAGGTTATATAAGTATTATCTTTTTCTTTGGTTAACTTTCTTTCATCACCGTCATACCATGGTAAACTGTTTTCTTTTGCAGTTATATGTTTATATATATAATTTTGGAACGTGGTGTACTTGTTTGAAAATCAAAATTGCAAAGTACATAATCAACTAAATTAGAGCTAATGTTAGTAATTTTAGTACATTCTCTGACAGATTTTTGGATCCCATACATGTTTAATACATTTTTAATCCGGGTTGTATAAATTTTTTTTTGCGAAATTAATATTAAAGTCCCCTACTAAGATAAATTTTATGTTACATCTTGTTAAATCATCATAGATTTTTTCAAAATTTTCAAGAAATACTGAGTGACTAGCACTAGGTGAATGATATTATCGTCGTCAATATCACGAAGTGACGTAACTCGATTTTCACAACTTTATAAGAGAGCGTTTTAAAGTTTTTTTATAAAGATATTGCTCTTCATAAAATTATCATATCCACCGATTAGATAAGCCGTGCTATTTTAACAAATGAAATGAATTGAAATACGCAATTTCGTGAAATAAATACTTTTTTACACAAATATATATGACATCTCAACTTTCAATTTTTTTGTTATGTCACTTCGTGATATTGACGACGATATAATGAACCAACCAATATATTTACATTATTGTACGAAATTTGTATTATTAAGCACCGATAGTTGTTTTCTAAGATATATTTTTTGTATATACCATATTTAATTTTACTGTTAATGTAGTATTCTTTCTGTTGTTTAGTTTAATCACTGATAATTTTAATTTTATAAAACCAAATCATATTTACTTTGTAAGACCACTTTATTAGCGGATGTTTATTCGGAAGCACTTTAGCAACCCTGAATATTATTAAATTATATGTGTTGACGTTGAACATAGTTCCAGATAGAAGTAAGACATTTCAACAATCCTTCTACCAATATTATGCATGTCAAATATTGAAGTCTCATATTCGATTTTTTCTTCCATTTCCACCTCTAATTCTGAACCATATTTATCCTCGGGTTGCTCTTTTATTCTGAAATAAATTAATTTCCGTTATTCACTTGTTTCATTAAATAAATTATACTTCCGGATTATTTTTGATACTTTATAGAATAGATCGTCTAGAAATACATGTTTTCGACAATTTGAACTTATTAGGTAGGTTCCTGTGAATAAAAAGTAATAAAGTTTATTTTTATATCTACAATAAATTAAAAATTAATATAATTTGATATTACGAATATTACGAAAGAGAGAGAGAGAGCGATAATGTTTTCACAGGTTCCAAATAAAAATATTATTGAGAAACGGCCTAACTCAAAAATCAATTAGTTTTTTATTTTAGCAAAAACTTGTAAATAGAAAAAGAATAGGTAATAAATCAGCTACAATATTATGTAGGTTTTAAAAAACTGATATTTGCAAATTGACAAAATTTAATATTAGTTTCAATTTTTATTAAAAAAACTAGGGTGTGACAAAACAAAAATATTTAAAACCTATAGATTGATAGGGTTTTCCTTTTGAATACCTCGTTAAAAAATGAAATGGTTCCGATCATAAATAATCAAGATATAAATAAGGTTAAGAAGTAAAATAGTGTACTGCGAAAACAGCCTTAATCTGAAAATACTTTCCTCCAATCTTTAACATTCCATCTCACATATTTTTTCAAACCATATTTTTTTTTCTTCATGGCAATAGTCAATAGTTGTTTCTTTTGAGGTCTAACTGTCATGAACAATAACTCCGGCATGTGCTAATTCTTGATGATGAAGTTCTTGGCTTGTTTTCCTAATGTTTAATTTATTTTCGCTTGTTCATATCTCCTAAACTCACATTTCACTCCTTGGCAATATTCGTTTGAATAATTGATGTGTGTTTACTCAAAATAATCTTAGAACCAAATAAAACCTTAGTTTTCTGCTTACTTTACCAAAAACACTAAAAAAAATGCAATACGTCTGTAACTTGGTATGTCTTATTACTTCACTGATTCTCAGAACTCTCAAACAAAATGCCCACTACATACATT